ATGCCGAATGTGCGGAGGCAGTCTCAGAGAGAAGGCAAGCAAAAACCAGACTTTGGCGGTCACCCTCTCCATCCAACCTTATTGAGTTCAAATGTCTCGAAGCCAGAGTACACTGGCTAAAGATACAAAAACAGAAGGCTAGCTGGGAGCAATTTGTTAGCACTTCATCTGCCACTACTACCACAAAAGCAATTTGGTCAAAGATTTGGAGCATACAAGGCAAAAGCTTTCCTTGTCCACCTCTCTCAAACATTCCCATGTCAGATGATTTTGGGAAAGCATCTGCATTCAGTCAGCTCTGGTTTCCCATTTACAATGCTCCAGTTCCACCCCCAGCTGTCAGGGCAGCAAGCACGCATTTATCACAACTCACAGATTTGACTCTGAGCCTTTCACACCAGATGAGCTGGATGTGGCCATCCAGGCTCTGAGGAATACTGCTCCAGGCCATGACCAGGTAATGAATGCATTTCTTAAAAAGCTGCCATCCATAGTTAAACTTGAACTTTTGGATATATTTAACAAATGCTGGAGCTCCTGAACGGTGCCAGAAAGTTGGAAGCAAGGCATCACTTGCCCAGTTTTGAAGCCTGGGAAAGACCCAACCCTGCCAAATAGTTACTGCCCCATCACCCTCCTTCCCTGCATAGGGAAATTAATGGAGCACAAAGTTCTTTGTTGACTTGAATATTTTCTTGAAAGAAAAGAAATAATCTGTTACCATCTTTAAATTTTGGATTTCAAAGAGGACGTTGCACTCTAGATGCACTGCCCTTGTTGAAGAGTGAAATAAGAGGAGCAGTGAAGCAACGCCACTACTGTCTAGTAGTGTACCTGGACCTCCAAGCAGCCTTTGACAGTGTCTGGCATCAAGGCTTGCTATTTAAATTGATTGAACTGGAGGTCCCTGAGCAACTCTTGGTCTGGCTTTTGAAATATCTTGAAGATTGTACAACCAGAGAGTTGGAGCGGCACTGTCAGAGCCTAGGCCTGTGCAAATTGGAGTACCACAGGGTGTGGTGTTGTCCCCTGCTCTGTTCAACATACCATCAACCGGGGCTACTTGAGACGATTTGAACGTTTCTCATTCATAACTTCTTATGATGAAACTTTTCATAAACAAGTTTGTTTAGGCTCATTTCAAAGCTCTTTGCAAGGGCTATCACATGGCTTCTCCAAAAAAATTCCATATGCTATTCGTAAGGTGCCAGAAGCAAAAAAAGAGTGTCCCGAGTAGCCCCGTCGAACAGGGCTAGTTGGGACACTTGGAATAAAACTTCATTTTAAAACATTTGAAACATGCAGAGTGTACTCATCGAATACTAACACTACTCTGAAGTCCTCTTTCATTGTAGATGATGTAGAGGTAGAATAAATGGCTTTTTCTGTGATTTTTACTTGTTTTTCCTTTATTGATATGATATTACCATGTACAATAATTACCGTATTATTGATGCAATATTACCGTATCCATGAACATGCCATTGAGCATTTACAACAACCTGCTAGTAAACATTTGGCCACTAAACTAAACTAACTTGTCAACTGCAAGCTTCAGATCAGCAGCCTTATAGCATTTTTTCTGTTTCTGTAAGCTTACAGGACGGCTTGTAATTTCACACCATTTTAATTGGGTTAAGATCATGAAAAACATACCTGAAACAGAAAGGAATGTTTTAGTGACAACCATCATACGTTTTGGAGAAATAAATCACCATCATACATTTTGGAGAAATAAATCATAGTTTAGGTCAATTAATTTTCATTCTATGATGCCTGGTGCACAATTCTATACAGGGTGTCCAAAAAAAAAACGATACTCAACTTTGAATGGCTGTAACTTGAAATGTAAGAGTTAAAAAAATTTGAAAGGCCAGAATTTGTTCCCTATCTTTTTCTCCATCTCTCCACCAAAAATCAGACAGATTGATGTAGCCATAAGCGTTTGATAGAACTTTCAGTGACATGTGCTTAAATCATGCTTGCGCAAAGTTTTAGTAAGATCATTTTGCATAATCATTATGTTGTCATGACATGTTTTCTTTTTGCTGTTTTATTTTTAGCGCATTTTCTCATTTATGAAAAAATGCGCTATTGTGCTCGCCATGTCCATCTGTCTGTCCGTCCTTCTGCCCATCTGTCCGTGACTTCATGTTTTTGTTGACAAGAAAATGCGCTCTCTCTCACTCACTGCAGTGAGTACTGAGTTCCATTTTTTGTATCTTTGGTGAGACAAAAACATGGCAATCTTTGGTTTTGAAATTCTCTCTCACCAAAGATTGCCATGATTGTCTCTCATCAAAGATTACCATGATTGTGTCTCACCAAAGATTGCCATGATTGTGTCTCACCAAAGATTGTCATAATTGTGTCTCACCAAAGATTGTCATAATTGTGTCTCACCAAAGATTGTCATGATTGCCTCTCACCAAAGATGGCCATTATTGTCTCTCACTAAAGATTGTCATGATTGTGTCTCACCAAAGATTGTCATGATTGCCTCTCACCAAAGATCTCATGATTGCCTCTCACCAAAGATTGCCATATTTTTGTCTCACCAAAGATACAAAAAATGGAACTCAGTACTCACTGCAGTGAGTGACAGAGAGTGCATTTTCTCTTTGACGAAAACATGAAGTCACGGACGGACAGACAGATGGACAGAGGGATGGACGGACAGACGGACATGACAAGCACAATAGTGCATTTTTTTCATAAATGAGAAAATGCGCTTAAAATGAAACAGCGAAAAGAAAACATGTCAAGACAATGTAATGATTATGCAAAATGATCTTGCTAAAACTTTGCGCAAGCACAATTTTAGCACATGTCACTGAAAGTTCTATCAATAAATGTAGTATTTTTGAACTACCTTTATACTACATAGATAGGAAAAATGTTGATGTTTACGCCACTATATTTAGTTTTGCAATATTCCAATTAGTTTTGCTACTAAAACAGTTTTACGCAGTGTTGGAGGACTCTCCCGAGTTACCCCGCCCGTCCCGAGTAGCCCCGGTTGATGGTACCTATACAAAAATTTTTTTTCAAGATATATGAGAAAATAAAGTGATAAAATTTAGGAGAACCTAGGTGGAAATGGTTATAAGAGTTGAGATCATGGTAGGTTTTTCCATTTTTGGATCCCATACACTTGTTTTATAGGCAATCTTATGATTCTTACCTCCTTTTGCCTTGATAACCTCAGTTCATCTTCTCCCCATACAATTGACCAAATAATCCAGAGTCTATTGAGGAATTTCATCCCAGGAAGTTAGGAACTGAGAAACAAAGGATAGCTGTACTCAGGTCACTCACAGATTGGATCAGTGGAACTGGCGCTCATTTTGGTAAACATCCCTTGCCTGGCTTGCCAGTCCCCATGATGCTCGGGTGCCCCGTAGGGCCATAGGTTTTCACTTTTCAGTGGGGTTGAGGTCAGCCTGTCAGAGCTAAGCACTGGCCAAGGCAACAGGGTAATATTCTGCTCTTGGAACCACTTATTTGCTGACTTTGATCTTTATAGTTTGAATCAAAGCATTGTCTTGCTGGAAAACATATGGTCACTCATGTTTCTCATCAGCAAAAAGGAGAAGAAGGTGAAATAGTGTGTGCATGTATGCCTTGGAATCTTGTCTCCCTTGTAAAATAGCTGGAGTTGATTTTCCCTTTTTGCTGAATGCCTCCCAACCCAACCCATGACCAAACCAAGACCAGATTGCTGCTTGGTAATGAATTCAGGCTCATGGTACTTGAACCTAGCAACCAACCTAGTTTCATTCAAGAGATGTAAAGACAAGGTTAAGATTGCTAAATGGGAGGTGTAAAGAGCAAAACAGAGCTCATGGACTTATTGGACATTTTGACTGGATGAGTTGCTGTAGCAAAACCACATCAAACACTCCCATATCTTAATTGTGGAAGAAAGTCAAGCTCCTTTGCTTACCATTTGTCTGTAGGTCCTAACCTTTCATTTTGCATGACTCAATTGTGACTGACTCACGTGGTAAAGATCAAGCTCTTGTCATCCACTATGAAAAAACTTTCATGTGTCTAGGTGGACCAGCCCCATCTCTGGATGTTGGATGATCTCCCTATATCTGCACCAAATGTCTCCCTTTTCTTGGCCAGTTGACCCCTGCTTGCCCAGGGCCCCAGGGGCTGAGTTGCTCCTCTTCTTCACTTCGCTGCATTGCTTAACCCAAAAAGGTTAGGTCTGGAAAGGTTTGTTTGGTTGGACAGTTGAGGCAAATGAGTAGGACTTAGGAAGATGCATGCTGGGATGTTGTCTCCATCATTCAAGACTATAGGTACTACTAGCTGTAGCTGGAGTAGTGGCTGCTGGCTTGTGGCACCTGCCATCTATGGCATAACCTTAATGGCTCTAAGCTTATTAAGCACTTAAGTTCAAAGGTTAATCTAGTCAGTAGCATGCTTGTGCAAGGGGAGAATATGAAAGTGATGTGAATACAGCCTTTCATATTCTCTCTCTAACAATGCCAATGGCCTCTAACAATGCCAATGCTTTGTATTCTACCTACTCAAGACCTTTTCAGTAAATGTACATTTTTAATATTTAAAACCTATTTTTGAAGTTTTCATGCTGTTCAGTACAAGATTTGGGAAAAATGGAATTCCTGATTGATAACAAGAATTATTTTTCATGCATTAGCAAATATTGGAATTGTAACGCAAGTAAAGCTACATCATATGAAGCAAGTCTAATTTTCTGATTGGTTGTCTGCTCATCTGGTATTTGTATTGGTTATGTAAAAGAAGCCACTGCAGGACCCAAGAGAATTCAGAACAGGAGGACAGTTCTTCTGTTATGACATTGGAGAGTTTTTGGACCAATCTGATTTCATGGTCTCTGTTCTCATTTGTTTATTCATTTGAAGAAACTTGATATCCACCCTGCCTCTTCTTATTCATGCTTGCATTTATTGTCAAGGCTAAGTGTTATTTTTTTTGTTAGTCTGTTTTCAATATAAACATTTTTATTGAAATGTATGGAGTATTCTTAGTATTTTGAGAATTTTATACATTTTTATATGCATCCAGATTAGATATTCTTCAAAAACTCTACAAATTCCAAACAAAATTACTTCTATGGAATCTGATTCCAGGTGAGGAAAAGTTTGTTCTTTAGATCAATTTGAATTGTACATTAATGTAATCTATTACTAGTATAAAATTGGTACATTTTTGTATTATAGATAAGAGATAAAATAATTGTTTAAATAAAATTTTTCCTGTGAACATTGCAAATTTCATGAACATTTAAATTATTCTTGTAATAAAGATGAATTTAAGGCTTTACCATTGCTATTCAATATTTGTGCCTGATACATAGTGTGAAATGTACAAAAGATACTGCTTGAAAAATAGTGTAACTTGTTATGTTTTTATTCATAGGAGTCCATTCAAGTCCAAGAAAGCAAAATCGTTCAAGTTTCTTCACAAAAAAGACAAGGAAAAAGAAGACAGAGAAGATAAAAAGAAAGAAAAAGAAGAAAGAAAGAAGGAGAGAGAAAAGGAGAAAGTGGAGAAGTTACGAGCCAAAGAGGAGAAGAAACGAAGCAAGAAAGAGAAGAAGAAGCATGTTGAACCTTATGTTGAAGACAGTAAGTTATTGTTCTATTACCTGCTCATGGGGGCACATGAGTTTTCTTGTATGGTATTTGTACATGGGTTTAAAAATAAAAATTTTTTCTACTTGTGTTCCTGGATGAAACTATAATAATAGGAAATGAAGATAGCAAAAAAGGATTTGATTTTTACATGTGGATCACCATCATGGCTTTGAGATGGTAAAATTTTCAAATTTCTATCTGTTAAAAATTTTCAATCCTAGATTTATCATCTCTTGTTGTAGGTATTCCTACCGCCAGCTATTCTTCCATTTACGTACTTGTTCTAGTTGAAGATCACCAATAAGGTTGAAAAATCATTTTGTACTCCTAAGTTTGTCTATGCTTTGCCATTATAAACTATGAAATATGTGCATATAACAAATGTAATATATTCATTATTGATATATATAGAGTTTATTCATGATATTCAGAAAAATGAGATAAATATCAACCCTTAGATTTATCATGATGTTTTTTATTTATTTCATAATTGACTCAGGTGCATGCATGGTGTTTGGGGTGCCTCTCAGCACTGCAGTCGAGCGCAGCCCTTCCCATGATGGCATCAGATTGCCCCTTGTTGTGCGCCAGTGCATCGACTACATAGAGCAGCATGGTTTGTCCTGTCAACATAGACATACACTCACTTTAGTGTTTCAAGCAGGTTTCATTGAAGACCAGAGAATTTGTTTTATTTGCAATTTTCTTATTAGTTTTTTCAATATATCGAACAATATTTTTAGTTTGAACTGGCAAATCGAAAATCAGGTTACCGATTCAATGTCTTCAATGTCAAAATTCTCTGGTCTTCAATGAAACCTGCTTGAAAGAAGAAATTCTGCCAACCTATACTAATTTTCACTTTAGTGTGTGCATGACCATGTCTAGTAGCTTTATATGTCTTGAAAACATGGAACTTCAGTCCATGTGATGATGCTTTTAATCATACAGAATGTCTGTGTACTTTTAACCATGTTGACTTATATCATATTTCCTGCATCACCTCAGCTCAAAGTGATGCTCCAACAGAATGCTTTGGGATGCATATATTACACTCTCTTGTTTTGATTTTTCTTCTTCCCCAAGCATGGGAGAATTGAAATTTGAAAAATAAGTAGCTTGCTTTTTCATCACTCAGAAATATTGTTTTACTGCTAATTTTGTTAGCATTGAATTTCTAGGTACAAATTGTGTGCTCTGTGTGTCTTGACACATAAAAAAATATCTAATTTCTTGCCAAGTGGTATTCATTAACATTCTATTATCACATGCCAAGCATCATGTGCTATCTATTGTACCTATAGAAAATAAAAGAAATTGTGCAGTGTGGTGCTAAGGCTGGTATGATTCACAGGTCTACAGTGTGAAGGCATCTACCGCCTAAGCGGCGTCAAGAGTAAAGTACAGCACCTGCGACGCTGCTTCAACTCTGCCGCCCCCGTCTCCTTGAGCGGCCACGACCCCCATGTGGTGGCCTCCTTGCTGAAGCAGTTCCTCAGGTACACCATCTTCCCCAGCCTCACTCGACAGGGGAGGCTGTGTTTGTATGCATGAGTAACACTATTATAAATTAGCTCTGCCAGAGCCCGTGCTGACGGCTGACATGTTTGTGTGCCAGGGAGCTGCCAGAGCCCGTGCTGACAGCTGACATGACGTCGCATTTCGAGGACGCGTCGCAGATCCCGGGCTGGCGGGACCGCGCGGATGCGATCCGGCAACTTCTGCATCGCCTGCCCACACCCAACGCCCACCTGGTGGGCCACATGCTGGCCCACATGGGACACGTCATCGAGAATGTGGGTAGTTGGTCTTATACCTTATCATGTTGGCAAGAGGCTGTCACTAAGATGAACTACCAGAACGTCTGCATTGTCTTATACCTTATCATGTTGGCAGGAGGCTGTCACTAAGATGAACTACCAGAACGTCTGCATTGTCTTGTCTCCTACCATGCGCATCTCTCATCGTGTGCTCAACGTGTTCTTCCAGAACCACGCTTATCTCTTCGGGGATGTGCACATTGTGAGGTCAGGCAAACTTGTATCACTTGTCACGTAACAGGAATCGCCACTTAACCTATCACAATTAATTCCTGTACAGTTCATGAATCATCAGTCTGCACATCGTAGGCCATTCTCAAAACATCACAAATAATAATAATCACTCTGCACATCACAAGGCATCAATCAACACATAAGTCATCAGTCAACTCACTATCACGCATCGCTTCATGCCCCATCACTCTACAGGATCTGCCATAATTCTTGTGGGTTTGTGATCTGAGGTAATCTCTTGAGAGATCATCGCGAATACTCTCAACTATCTGGAGAATTTCCACTGTCTATGAACTTCACTACTGATTAACCTATTTATATCTAATCTACTGACGAAAATTAATTCACTATAAATGATACTGATGTTCAATGTTCAGTTATAATCGAGACATAACTCGTATATTAATCCTTCCCGTCTACCGCTACTAGTTATAATCAATGCATGTAAAGTGACTCAAATAAATTAAAACGAATGGCGTCAAGAGCATAAATATTTTGCCAATTTCTGTAAACCAACTCGCTATTACGAAGTTGTTGAGAAATTCTTGTTAGCCTTTATTTAGGAGTTGCAGTAAATTTTTCTTGATGTGAGCCTGAAAAGTGAAGTACCTATCGTACTTTCTTTCGCATTTTTGTTTTACAATCAATACAAATTTTATGTTTGCAAAAATGCAGTCCGGATTCTGTTAAAAATGCCGGTTCAGGTGAAATGAACCTGAGAATGAATGCGACGGATAACCCAGTGAATGAAATTGAATGACCCAGTAAAGAATGACCCAGTGAATGAATTCCCCAGTAAAGAATGTCCCAGTAAGGAATGACCCAGTAAAGAATGACCCAGTAAAGAATGACCCAGTAAAGAATGACCCAGTAAAGAATGACCCAGTAAAGAATGACCCAGTAAAGAATGACNAATTTTTGCTTGATGTGAGCCTGCAAGTGAAGTATGGTACTTTCTTTGGCATTTTTGTTTTACAATCAATACAAATTTTATGTTTGAAAAAATGCAGGTAAAATTCGGTTAAAAATGCCGGTGCAGCTGAAATGAACTTGAAAATTAATGCGACGGATGACCCAGTGAATGAATGACCCAGTAAAGAATGACCCAGTAAATGAATGCCCCAATAAATGAATGACCCAGTAAAGAATGACCCAGTAAATGAATGACCCAATAAAGAATGACCCAGTAAAGAATGACCCAGTGAAGAATGACCCAGTAATGAATGGCCCAGTAAAGAATGATCCAGTAAAGAATGACCCAGTAAAGAATGCCCCAGTAAATGAATGACCCCGCCCAGGTACCGGCCCCCAGTGAGGACGAGCAGCGCCGTAGAAGGGCTGCTGGGAGCCACGGAAGTTCGAGAGGAGCTGCGGCGGCAGGACGCTGCGCTGGCGCACCTCCACAAGCTGCTCGCCGCCTCGCCCCACAACACCGTCGTGCAGGAGCAGCTCTGGGAGACCCAGCGCATACATACTCTGCTCAAGGTAATATTACTATACTGTCATATCTTGCTTAAGTACACGTTGCTGGATAAGTACACGTAGCAGGCTAAGTAGACGTTGTGGCCTAAGTACACTCAGCGGGCTGAGTACACTCAGCGGGCTGAGTACACTCAGCGGGCTGAGTACACGCTGCAGGCTAAGTACACGCAGCAGGCCAAGTACACGCAGCAGGCTAAGTACACGTAAGGTGCTGGTTGCTAGTAGCGGGCTAATTACACGTAGCGGCCAATTTCTAATCTGAGATTGGTGGATTTTGCTTGATACGCGGAACTGTTTTTCGTGCTTACTTTTGATTCTACGGTCCTTCACTCGTACAATACGCAGCAAACTAAGCTTATATGGAACCTGGTGTGGACCAATGATTCTAGAAGTTGGATCGAAAAAAGACAATTTGTGCTTGATCTTTAGGCCAATGGAGGAAGTTGCTTGCAATCTACTTAAGTTAACTTAGTTGTGTTGTTGTGTTTGTTTCAGCTGCTGTTTCGTCTTTTAACGCAAGCATTGAGCTTCTTTCTTACATTTGATGTGATCACTTATTCAATTTTTCTACCCCTCACGTATCTATTCGTATTGCTTTTTAGCGCATTTTCTCATTTATGGAAAAAATGCACTATTGTGCTCGCCATGTCCGTCTGTCTGTCTGTCTACTGAGATTGGTGGATTTTGCTTGATAAGCTGAACTGTTTTTCGTGCCTACTTTCGATACTACGGTCCTTCACTCGTACAATACGCAGCAAACTAAGCTTATATGGAACCTGGTGTGGACCGAAATTTTTTGAGCCGTATTACAAGTGTTTCTTTGATTCTAGAAGTTGGATCGAGAAAAGACAATTTATCTTAGTCTTTAGGCCAATGGAGGAAGTTGCTTACAATCTAAGTTAACTTAGTTGTGTTTGTTTCAGCTGTTGTTTCGTCTTTTATGGCAAGTATTGAGCTTCGTTCTTACATTTTGATGTGATCAGTTATTCAATTTATTTACCCTTCACCTATCTATTCGTATTGCTATTTGTTTATATTTTGCTTCTGGTCGAAAGCTAATATGTTGATGGAAAATCTCATCCAAATGTCATAGTTCCGCGGGTTGATCGAGCTATAATGCTAGTGTATGACAATGTAATTGTTCACTATGTAAATTACCGCATTAAAAATAATCATTTCTAACCCTACTGATGTCAATGGTTGATCTCAAAGTCAATGTCCAAAGTAATCCCCACCGTTACAGGAATCCAGGCACAACCCTTAGACATGAATCCATAACGTATAACGGTATAAGTGACAAGATTTTGTACACGTTCGTTACTCTCACTTCATTTAAGAAATAAGATTAGTACATTACAATGCATTTCGTGTGAGCAGCGCAAGTTGAAGCTGTGTCAACGTGAAGAGTGTGAAGTGCGTGCACCAAGTGAAGACATCTCGTCCGAAGACAGTCAAAGAGAGAGCGTCTCTGAGAACACGAGCAACAACAGCACAAGCATCCTCAGCACTGCCTCCAACAGCCTTAATGCCCTCGCTGACAACGGCCTACCTACTAGCACTGGAAACGATCTACCCGCCCTAGCTGGTCACGACCTACCCGCCCATAACGATAACGGCCTCACTGCCACCACAGAGTCGCGAGATAACACAATGCAGCATCGCATACCTAAGTTGCCGAAACCCGTCTCGCGAGTCAAGGCTTTGTCAGACAACGTCCCCGTTGTTGATGGTGGTACCGGCCCTGAACCTCTGGATGCCGCTAGTTTAAAAGCAATATCTATGAGCGGCTCGGAGGCTGTTGGTATCTCTGGGGCTGTAGACGACCGTGATGGCCCTTGCGTCCAGCTGCCTGTTGTGCTTCCCAGTGACGATATTTCACCAGGATCGCGGAGTGGCCATGTGACCGTGATTGACATCGACGGAGGTGTGGACTTTGTTGCACTTCCTCCTCCCGAATTTGGCGGGAAAATATCTGCTGACATTTGCATACCTCCAGCATTTGGTGACGGGAACACGGGTGATGTGTTAACGGAAACCGCCAGCTTAGTCCAGTTGCCAGAGGTCGCCAGCTCGGTCGAGTTGCCAGATGTTACCAGCTCTGTGGTGTTGTCAGAGGATGCCAGCTCTGTGTTATTACCAGAGATTGCTACCTGTGCCCTGAGACACACTGACCAATTAAGTGATTCTACAGCAACATATCCCCTCCAGTCTGTGTGTAAGTTATGTATATAACGAAATGTTACGTTTTTCTTAATTAATTTGACTAAAGTTTAAAAAGGACGCATGATCGTGCACGGTTTGTGCTTCTCCCTCAGTTTCTGTGTGTGCTGCGGATGCTGGAGTACGAAGCTGGGTTGAAATGAAGCACAGTTATTTATATTAACAAGAACATGATTTAAATTAAATCCTATGGCAGAAATTCTAAGATTGAGTCTAAAATTCAAATGATAGACTCCTTTAAGTCGGTTTGACTGTCTTCACGGCAAACCGACTTTCGGCTACATAAGTAGCGCACGTTTTGAGAAATCCCAAGTCTACAATCATGTTAGCATCGCGTGGCTTGCAACTGAGGTGATTTTGGTTAAGAATGTGAGTTGCTTGTGAACTCAAAACTGGGTTCGATGTGTTACACATCAAGTGCTGGTCCAGAGCTGGCGTAGCGAGCTGGTCACGGTTGTTAGGTTTAGCTGGTATAGTGTGAACAGCTTCTCTCCACTTATGTATGTGAACGCAGAGTTGACGGAGTGTGTCCACTCCACCATCAGGTGTAGACGAAGAACTGGTGGCGCTGGTTCGCGAGGAGGCTCAGCTTCTTGCTTACCACGCCGAATTGCTTGCTATGAACCACGACCTCTCGCGCAAGCTGCATGCTGAGACGGCAGAGATATGTCGCCTTAAGGAAGAGATTCTAGAGCTGCACACCCTCTACGGATACAGGCGAGTCTTGCTTACCTCCACACCCTCTATGGATACAGGCGAGTCTTGCTTACCTGCAACCCTCTACGGATACAGGCGAGTCTTGCTTACCTCCACACCCTCTATGGATACAGGCGAGTCTTTCTTACCTCCACACCCTCTACGGATACAGGCGAGTCTTGCTTACCTCCACACCCTCTACGGATACAGGCGAGTCTTGCTCATAGTACAACACTCTGCTACGGATTGCTCGAATCTTGTACTATGAGGGTGCACATTCCTGATGTACTGTCCCGGTATGCATTTCTAATGTGCTATTAGGCTGCACATACATTCTTAATGTACTAACAAGTTGTACATTTGTAATATTTCATCAGCGAGTATTTACATTCCTATCCTAATGTGTAAATGTAGCCTAATGTGCTATGATGGTGTAGTTTCTAATGTACTATTGTGTTGTATACAGAACGTACTCGTACGATAGCAGTGAGAGTGAGGGTGAGAGCGAGAGCGGCGTGACGGCTGCCGCTGATAGCGATAATGAAGAAGAGTTGCTAAGTCAGCTGCTGCAGCACAACGCACAGCTTCAGGTATATACGCCCTGCTTAAGTCACTTACGTAAAGAACTCTAATTATTTGTGAGTTTGGGGTGTATGTGATGTATCTCGAACAAAATACGCTCGAATAGCTGTACCAATTCTTCGCTGCTCTCCATTGCTCCATCTTTTTTATACTTGTTCCATTTATTTTATTTATTTTTCGCTATCAGTATTTACTTATTGTTTCTGGAGACAATATCCGTACTGTTCCACAATATATAACCTATATATATGTTGTGTAACCTATAACTTATCAGCGTACTGTTCATAAGCTGTCTCTTATACACATCTAGATGTGTATAAGAGACAGNTATGAAGTTTAAAAATTTTTGCGTCTTTGTGTATGACGCTCTTCAAATGATTCTGAAGTTTAAAAATTTTGAACTAGATTCGGGATGAAGGAATTCGGTGAACATAGGTTTAATATGATAGGGTTCGGTATGACGGGATCATCAGATCAGGTGCTGTCTCTTATACACATCTAGATGTGTATAAGAGACAGGTTAAATGATGTGTGATATACCTCCCTGCCCCGTTCCCTGCTGTCTGCTGGGACAGTGAAATAATATATGGCACCCTTCCCCGTCTCGTTCCCTGCTGTCTGCCGGGACAGTGAAACGATGTCTGGACGCCCCCTTGTCTCGTTCCCTGCTGTCTGCCGGGACAGTGAAACGATGTCTGGACGCCCTCTTGTCCAGTTCCCTGCTGTCAACTGGGACCGTGCAATGATGTAGATATCCATAGATGCAATGATGTAGATATCCATAGATGCAATGATGTAGATATCCTCCTTATCCATAATTAACCCGTGCATTGATTTAGGACACTTCCCGCTGTCACGCGCTCTGCTCTTCGGTGGTGTCGCATTAATAAGAAATTGGCATTAATAAAATTGTCACACTTTCCTACTTCAATTTTAACTCTATGGGAACAAGTATACCAAAAAAGTCCCGAGGAGACCACATCTCGTATTTAATTATTTAATATTTCTAGGAATGTTAAGTGAATGAGCATTGAAAATCCAAAATGCTGTTTTACATTTATTTTTTGTTTACCTTACCAACATGTTCGTTCAACGGCGACTGGCATAGATAATTCTTGCAATTAGAAATTACTAATCACCTGATCTGATGATCCCGTCATACCGAACCCTATCATATTAAACCTATGTTCACCGAATTCCTTCATCCCGAATCTAGTTCAAAATTTTTAAACTTCAGAATCATTTGAAGAGCGTCATACACAAAGACGCAAAAATTTTTAAACTTCATAATCATTTGAGGAGCGTCATACACAAAGACGCATTTAGCACGGAACGTCCATTTATGTCCTAAATTGGATTTCCAGGGAAACTTTAATTTCTATTTTTTAGTGGAATGTAATCATACCGAAGTAAAACTCGTCGTTTTATTTTAAATTTTGCTGTTATATACTTATATATATATGTTATATATATCGTTATAGTGTACTTGGGCAGAAGTTCTTCATTTGTGCAAGTTTAATTGAAGATCAGAGCATACTTTTATTAACAATTTTCTTATTTTTTTCAATAAACCGAACATAATTTATTGCTGATTTTGGTAGATCGAAAAGCAGGTTACCAAAAGACATTTTACTGAATACGTCGTTTCGAATATTCAATCTCAAGTAGGTGAATAGTTTTAGAACACTTGAAATTTGGAAGTACATATAAAAGCTATCCACGGAGGACCACTGAACCATATGCGTCACCCGCGCGACGTTGGACTCCCGCACCAGCATCATGCGGTGCCCCGACGCCTGCACCAGCATCATGCGGTGCCCCGACGCCTGCACCAGCATCATCATGCGGTGCCCCGACGCCTGCACCAGCATCATGCGGTGCCCCGACACTACGAGACTGTCGATAGCGGAGGCCCTCATTATCAAGGACGAGTCTCCTGCTATCAATCTGTAAACCACCGGATTCGTCAGGACGTTGTAGTTGCGAGCCACATCTAAGTGTTGAGAATGTATATATTGAATATTCCAACCATCGTATTCCAGTAAAATGTCTTATTGTAACCTGCTTTTTTATCTCCCAATACCAGCAAGAAATTTTGTTCGGTTCATCGAAAAGACAATAAAACAAATAATAAGAACATTGTTAATGAAAAGTGTATGTCGTTTTTTTTCATTTATTGGTTTAGCGGCACGAAATAATTGCATTTTGACACCGGAAATGTGTTGAGCAATACCAGTTGCCATTGTGAATACTTTTTCAGAGGATTTGATCAGGTCCGTTATTTATATAGTTCAAAGAGGCTACTTTCTGAATGAAGTTCACCAGCAATATTTACATTTTTAGCTACTTGAGACGTCACGGGCGGTACAGTGCACGACATCCACAAGGCTGAAATGCACATGGGCCAATCCATGGTTGAACTATTATAAGGTTGACCAATCACTCAAATGCGCTCAAACCGTTCAACCAATCCGTCATAGGAATGATGGGCATGGTTGAACTATATAAGGTTGACCCACGATAAGTCCCGTCTTTCAGTTCAGCTTTCTTGTTACGTCACGTAGATCCATAAACGTAAACAAACCCGCCATTCCAATGACGGATTGGTTGACTGGTTTGATCGCATTTCGGTGATAGGTTAATGCCCGTGACGTCACTGAGATCAGTGACGACAGGCGAACAACGAGCTACATCCGCAAAAATGGGCTTCTGTTGGGTCAACCTTACACTAGTTCAACCATGATGATGAAATTGTTTACGTTTCTCGATCTCAGTGACGTAACAAGAAAGCTTAACTGAAAGGCGGAAATCCTCGTGGGTCAACCTTATATAATTCAACCATGGATCAATCAACTTCTGATTTTAATTAAGTAACTTGAAAAAAAATGCGGTAAAAACGCTTCATATTATCTGGACATTTTAGAGCATTCGAAATCAATTAGTTATATTGGAAAATGTACTTTGTTTGGCTTAAATACACGGTTTTATCTTCAGCTTTCATTCATTTGGTCAGAGGAAGGCCGCACCTGCTCAGAAAGGGTGGATAGCTAGAGGTCAGCATAGCCCAAGTCTACATTGCGATTCATATACATTCCCGAGCGTAACGCAGCCGGGCATCTTCACGGCTTTCGAAACATAACGCCCACCACGGGAACGCAGCCGTGCACCACAAATTTTGTACACCAATAAGCCCTGAATCGAACGCCTTGGATCTTTCCGGAAAGTCTGACTGTCTACGGCTGGGCACCCGTCCGCGGGTTAGGGTTTCAGTCAGTGCTCAAGGTCAAGGATCAGTACCGGCAGAGCGTCGGTCCGGCACCCGGCAGTAGCCCAACGGCGAACAGGCAGATCAGCCTCCGACATAACGGTTTGAGGCTCTTGAGCTGCGGTCAGTGCGGTGGACGGATGACCTGTCAAACGGGGTAATAAGCAATAATGGAGGGGCAGGATAAATCGGGACAGTCGTCCCTTGTTTCGTAATTCGTGAAAATGGAGCAGCTAAACTAATCAAAATAGGTACTCAGGCAAAACTGGAAATAGTGGCGTAAAGTTCAAAATTTTTCACTATCTATCATAGATATTGCTTTATGCTACCTACCTAGACTACATTACATAGATAAATAATCTATGTAATGTAGTCTAGGTAGGTAGCATAAAGCAAGTTAAGAAATCATACATATACCACCGTCAAACGGGGTAATAAAGGACGGGCGGAGTAATAAGGGACAGGACAGGCAGGGTAATAATTAAGGGACAGTCACTACTCACTGTCCTCCAACATTTTGTAGGTAGAAATGTTGTAGCAGCTAAACTAGGCCTAAGTAAAATATTGCAAAACTAAGAAGTAAAAACAGTGGCATAAAGTTTAACATTTTTCCTGTCTGTGTAGGTAGGCCTAGCATAAAGCAAGTTAGGAAATCATACTGATACACTTACAAGTTACTACTAAATAACATCTTCATAAAAATCCCTGAAAAGTGAGATTTTGGAAGGTATCTCTGTTAACGTGTTTAGCACTTAAGCTGAGGTCTGTAGCAAAAAAATATTCACTGTAGGCCTATCCAAAATTTTTACTTGCATAAAAGTAAAACAAAAGTTGCAGTGTTGCACTGTCACTTGCACACAGTGTCACAGCCTGACACAGGTGTTGGACGAAAAACATGATTGATGGAATTTTCATAGGCCTAAACCCGCCTAATCTTATTCCAAAAAATAAGGGCAGCCATTTCTGAAAGATGGGGTAATAAGGGCATGGTGCCAATCCATAGGTTATTCAAAAGAACCTGTTCTTATGTCATTTTGAACCGATCAACACTTCTTTATGGACCGATCGTAAAACACACCTTCACCGGCAAAAGCTTTCACACTTCTGAAGAAGGTGAGCTGACAGCTACACTGGCCGTGGGGTGTGGGTGGACCTAATTTGAATTTGAATGCATGCAGCGATTCAAAATCCTATAGACTGTGATAGACATAGTATACAAGTCATAGAGCCTAAATTTTTAATATCTATAAAAAAA